TCCTTACTTTTCACGATCCAAGTTCAAAAATCAGATATCGGTTTTAATGTTCAAAAATTAGATATTTTATAGATAGATACATATTTTTTATATTTAATTAAATATTAATAATAATATTATAAAAATTAATTTATATACACCCTCCCCACTCCTAAAATTTAATTATCAAACTCTGACTCATCCCCGTTTCTCTCATTCCCGTCTCTCTCAACCGACGTCGCCGCCTCCTTCATCCCTTCCCGTCGACGTCACCATCTCCAACCTAGATCCCATCGCCGACACAAACCCTCTGCAAACGTCCTCCACACCGGTGACCCATCGCTCAACCGCCTGCGTCAGGAATCCTCAAATCACCGGCATCCTTCACAATCGACCCAACTCCAGCAATAACGCACAGCCATACCTCTCAACTCCAACAATAACGCACATCCCTCACTTTTGATTATGATTGTTATAGTTTCTATGGTTTTTGTTGTTGTTTGGTGGTCAAAATTAAAATCATGGCTTCTCACTCTATTTTGTTGGTTTTTGTTGCCTTGGTGTGAATTTGTGGTGGGGTGTGTGCGGCGAGTGGAGGTGGGGTGCAACGGCGTTGGGTTTGAAGTATGGCCTAGTTTTGTGCTTTGTTGCTGTGATTTGTGGTGATGCATCGGTGTTCCTTGGTGGTTTTTTGCTGTGATTTTTGGTGATTTATGGTAGTAGTAGTTCCACCTTTGTGAGGTCGGAGCAGCGGTGCCTCTGCGATGATAGGTTGTTGTTGGTGGNAGTGGCAGTGGTGGTGGTGATGTTGGTCGTGGTGGTTATCGTGGAGGCCGTGGTAGTGGTCGTGGTGATGGTGCAGAGGTGGTGGGGGTGGATCTGGTTATTTTGGTTTTCTGCGACTAAAAATATAATCTGTAACCTTAAAATTCGATAACCCGTGACAAAATATAATCCGTGACCAACCATTTCGTTATCTGTGACCTAAAAATTATATAATTTATGATTGTGAAAAAATCTGTGATCAAATAATTTGAAAATCTATGTTCGTGTGACCTTCTGTGACTAA